AAAAAAAAAAAAAAAAAAAAAAAAAAAAGAAAGAAAAAAGAAAAACACAGCAAAGCGAAACAAACAACCAACAAAAAGAACATGGGTTCCGGTGCTGGCTTTATAAGCGGCAAGGGCCTGAGTTCAATCCCCAGTATCAAAAAACAAAACAAAACAAAACAAAAAGAACATGTACAGAAGTCATGCCGGAGGGTAAAACAGCCAAGAGACAGAAGTTCACAGGCAAAGATCAGATGACAGAAAAAGGAAAGGCACAAAATGAAGAAAAATGGCAGAGAGGGTGCCAGGAAGGTCTGGACACCTGGCTGCACCCTCATCATCGAGTGGTGACCACCAGCGAAATCATACGAGTGAGGGAGGGAGACATCTGTGTGTCTCCTCTCGGGCCTGTTATGTGGGAAGCCACACTGGTCTCAGAGACATGAATGGATTCACGTTAGCCTCCAGTATAAATGATATGGGAGTTAAGAAAACAATTCGGGGGCCAGGGCCTTTGCTCAGTGGTTCTACTGCGTGCCTTGCGAGCACAAGGGCCCAAGTTTGATCCCCGGTACCACCAAAAAACACAAACACAAAAAAACTCAGGATCTTCAGTTCGGTGGTAGAGGAAAAGAACAATGTTCTAAGAACTTCCAGAAATAAGCTAAGTATGATGTCACACGCCTGTAATCCCAGCACACTGGGAGGCTGAGGCAGGAGGACCACGAGCTCGAGCATAGCTTGGACAACTTAGTGAGGGCCTGTCTCAAAATAAAAAATGGGGTGTGGATGCAGTGCAGTGCTAAGGCCCTGGGTTCAATCCCAATGCCCCTGCCCCCGGCTATACTCCAGGAACGCAGAAAGGCTCGCTGTGAACAGAGAATAAATACCAGGGCGAGGTGTGGACTACATCAGTTATTAATAAAGGAAGAAGCAGAAGTGCGCAGGCAGAACGCACAAACCAAGCTCACCTGGGGCCACACTGCTCCGTGGAACACAGCATCGATTTCTTCTGTTTTGAACTGGTAGGATTCCCAGTTCAGGAAGATATCGGTGACCATTTTGATTCCAAGACGCCGTAAATTTTTCAGGGGGTTAATAAACCGCAGCTGGATCTGGAAAGCAAATATTTTCTATTACAAGGAAGTAACTGTCTCTGTCTCTGTCTCTGTCTCTCTGTCTTTCCCTCTCCCACCACCTCCCCTGCTGCCCCTGACTCTTCACGGGTTTGGCTGAACCAAACCAGGCAACTACGGACCCTGGTTCCCCTGGGAGACCGTCTGTGCGAGGCGGGCCCACAGCTCTCCTCGCACAAGGGAGGCGGAGAGACCCTAACGGAGGGACCCGCTCTGCGTCACCCCATGCAGGAGATCACGCCAGCTGTCCTCGGGGAAACTCACACCTGGGCTTCTTCAAAGGACAGAGCACTCTAAACACAACCACCTGTCTGCCATCACAGGGCCTTGGATTAGGGAAAAACAAACGTTCACTCCAAAGTCATTTCCCTTATGTTTTCAAACTTGTTATTTTGGAGGGTACCAGGGATCGAACTTGGGACGTTGCGCTTGTGAAGCAGGTGGCGGAACCACTGAGCTAAATCCCTGGCCCCTACCTGTTAGTACTTTACCTTTCTTACAGCTAGCATTTAAAAAGTATCCTTGTTAAAATTATCCTAGACAGCCGGGTATGGCAGCACATGCCTACTAAGCTACTAAGGAGGCAGAATCAGGGGGATCCTGAATTCGAGGCCAACTTGAACAACTTAGCAAGACGACCTTGCCTCAAAACAAAATTTAAGGGTCCGGGGATTTAGCTCGAGGTTTTGCCGCCTGCCTCGAAAGCATAAAGACCTCAGTTTGATCCCCGGTACCAAAACAAACAAACAAACAAACAACCCCCCCCCCCACACCAAAACCAAAATTTTGAAATGGACTGGAGAAGAAAGAAAGAAGAGGCCTGGGGCGTAGCTCAAGGCTTGCCTAGCGTAGGGGAGGCCTGGGCTCAGTTCTGTCCCTAGCACCACAAAAACAAAACCAAAAAAATGCAGGGAGGCTACTCCTGCCTTAAGGGAATGAGAAGAATGAAGCTAGGAGCGGGAAGATGTCCACACAGTTTACATAAAAACGCACTTTGGTGGAATGGGTGTCATCAATCAGTCACTTCTCCTAGCACAGTTCGCCCCTCTGCTCACTGACGAAGCCACACTCGCAGCTAAGGTGCAAGCGCAGAGCAGAGTGGAGCTGCGTCTCCACCCAGTGCTACAGCTCCAGCCTCGTCCTCCCCTTGCTTGCTCCCCCCATGTGCAAACCTACTAAACTACGAGAACCAAAGGACCGGCGCGTTCGCCAGGTGAGAAATTACAACAGTTGGGGAAGGTACATTTTATGGGGAGAATTTCCACTGGATATTAGAGAATGAAAAGGCTGAGGCCTCGGACATTTCTACCAAACACGAAACAAAAACCCGACAAACCAGGGGACAGGCAACTCCTGCTCTCCCACTTCGTTACTGCGTTGTGGGCATGAGACAGACAAGTGGCCCCGGGCTCGGGGCCTGCACCCAGCACAGCTGTGGCCCCGCGTGTGGCCCTCCTGCTCGGTTCCTGCGCGGCACCGCCTCGCCCAGTAAGTATGGCCTTCGTCCACAAAACCCAGAAGCACCGGAAATCCATGAAGAGAGCAGAAGTGGTCTCCTGCGGTGACCACCGGTCTGTGGCGAAGGCACCATGAACATGACGGGGTCACTCGTGGGACTCTGAGTTCCACCCACCCGGCACAGCTGAGCACAACGAGCCTCAGCGAACCCCCGGCGCGGGCCAGGGATCGCCTCAGACCTCCGCGCTCGCGAATTAAGCCAGTGAGCGTGGCAGAGGGCACGACAAGGAGCACGAGGAAGTGGCACAGCGCCAAGTCTCCCCCGGCTTCAGTTCCCGGGCTGCATGTTCACGAGCAGCTGAACTGTGTTCGAGGAAGATGAAAACTGCCGGTGGTATCTGCAGAAAACACAGTACTGTGCTCATCCGGAGCAGGGACCAAACCCATACTAGCACCAGGGCCGCGAATTCCCCACCCAGCCCAGCGCGGTCGTCCCGCTTACTGCAGGCTGCTGAGGGCACCGCGGGAAGCCTGCGCTCGGGGCCTGGGGACAGGAGCGACGGGAGGGGCGGATGTGTGGCACGGAGAACTTGGACTCTGAAGTGCATCGCTAGGCCGCCTGGCAGAATTGCCTGGACAGCGGCAGTGCAGGGCTCCCGCCTCGGTGGCGGGGAGCAGGGCTGCGCCGCTGAGAACCGAGGGCAAGCGTTGCCCTAACGATGGCAACGCCGTCTTCCTGTCCTGGGCCTGCAGCTCTCACTGCACACAGCTTTTCCGAGACCTCTTCCCCACTCCTGGCCTCGCACAGCCTCTTTTCCACAAGGGAACCGAGGCGACAGTCAGGGAGCTCGCCCGTCCATCATGTGCACCTTACCCTCGGGAGCCAACGCCCTCCGTCCTCCCAGGTCCCCCGCAGCCACCCGCCGGCAGCACCGTGCCCAGCGCCTCCGGTTTACCGTGCTCCGAAGCTCTGTCTGCTGCCACCTCGTCTCCTCCCAGGACCTGCACGACTGTCCCACCGCGGGATTCTGCCCCATCACCTACTTCACTGTGTCCACGCACGGCCCCCAAGGCAGCCTGAAACCTGCCTGTACTTGAGCCGGTCCACCGGGCACATCCATAGAGCAGACCGAGCAAGTTTCACCAAGTGCAAGCTGTGCCTATCTGTCCCTAACTGAGGGTCACCAGCCAAAGTCTGGTCTGGATCTTTACTTCTCCAACAAGTCCCCGGTCCCTGAAGACATTAGGTGTGGAATATTTCCCTACACTCCACACAGCACTTACTTAAGCAGGCTGCAAAAGCCCCGTTGTTAAAAGATTTAACGTATTGATAAATAAACTAAAACTCACGGAGTTCTTGCTATGCCCTCACGCTCCCATTTAACACAGAGAAACACATCTTTCCAAGCGAGCACGGCTGCCGCGGCTCGGAACAGCATCCAGAAACGTCTCCCGGGCAAGCAGGCCCCAGAGCTGCCCTGTACTCCGTCTCCACTGGCTGCAGGGAGCACAGCCGTGCATGCTTCCTCCGCGGAGTTCCACGCAGCCTCCGCCCCAGTCCCCAAGGCCAGCAGACTACGCTGGGGGTCCCCACCTTCTCCCGCTGCTCCAGGACGTGGGAGGCGGTGGCTGTCACGCACAGCAGAATCTGCAGGATCGTGGGCAAGTAGGCGTGGATGAGATGGCTCATGTTCTTCAGCACCATCTCCAGGCTGTTCAGGACGCCGTGCTGCCGCCCCAGGGGGAGGACCCTGGCCAGATCCAGGGCGTCCACCGCACGCAGGACAGCGGTGTGGCACTCGCCTGCGGGCAGAGAGGGGCGGAGTGAGACACAGCCCAGGTTTCCAGTCCACACCAAACGGCGTGGCTGACAGACTGTGCTGTCCGCAGTGCTGACCGGATACAAGGAGCTGTGTGCTTCAGCCCAGTGGACCCGGGGACAGAGGCCAAGGACTCCTCCCTCCAGTTTTATTGCTGCAGTCAAAAGCCAGAGCTTCTGGCAGTCTTGTTCCTCTGGGCAGATGCGCACAGTTTTCTTGTGCTCAGTGTTCACCAGGCTACGCTAAGCACAGAAGATTCATAGAAACTGCCTTGCTATATTCTATGATAAATTCCTTGCTGCATGAGAACCAAAGGTTACATTTCTCTGGTACTGCCTGCTTAGTAAATAAAACAAGTCCCTTATGGAAAACAACAAAACAAAAAAAAAACAACAAAACCCCCCTGAAAAAAACAGAAACAAAAACTCCCACAATACTGGTTTCAGAATTTATTGGACTCCGTAATTTTTTGCTGTTGTTCTGTTTTGTTTTCTGCAGGACTGGCGATTAAACCTAGGGCATCTCTTCTGGGCTACAGCCCCAGCCCTTTTTCTGTTATTCTGAGACAGTTAAGCTGCCCAGGTGGGGCTCAAACTTGTCAACCTCCTGCCTCATCCTCCCAGATTGGAAGGGTTATAGGTATGCACTGCCACACCTGGTTTTAATTTTTTTTTTTGATTTTGTGAGACAGGGTCTTGCTGTATAGTTCAGCCTGCCAAGCGATCCTCCTGCCTCAGCCTGCCTGGTATCTGGGATCACAGACGTGCATCACCATACTTGGCTTTAAGTTTTATGGAACCCATCTGCGACCATATCACGAGCTTCCTGATCCATAACAGTCCATCTGTCACCGGATCGTGTATCTCCCTCCAGAATGGGGTTATAACTGAACAAAACTTCCGCTTTCAATAGAGCCAGCCTCCCCCACAGGCCAGGATTATACCAGAAAACCCAGTTGTCTGTGTGTCTGGTGGGACCGTCATCAGGGAGCACAGTGGACCCAATCGGCACCCGAGCTACAGCCTAGCCCGTGTTTTCAATTTTATTTTTAGACAGGGTCTAAATCGCTAGGCTTTTCAGGCTGGGCTTGCATTTGCAATTCTCTTGCCTCAGGCTCTCAGAGCTAGGACTGCAGGCGGGCGCTGAGGGCACTTGGCTCCAAGCAAAGGTTTTCAGTCAGAAAGGACCAGGTGTGAACCCCAGCAGCACCAACTACCAGCACTTTTGAAGCCTCAGCTTCCTCACTGTAAAATGGGGAGTCAGGTAGTGACGGGGCAGTGGAGGGCACAGGGCTGTCCCAAGGCGGGCGCAGAGGCTCAGCGAGCGTCAGCCCTGTCCCTGTCACCTGACGGACACCTAGAGCTGCTGCCCGCTCCATCGCTGACCCGCTCCTGCGGCTGCGGAGGGCTGTGCCTGCGGACCCTGATCCCCGCCGAGTGTGTGGCAGACATGGTGCCTTCTGTTTCCCAGGAGAAACCCATGCTGTGTATCCTGGTAACACAGCCACCACTTCTCGGATGGCCACACGCGTGCACACTGGAAAAAGCGCGCATTTCCTGAGTGACGGGGCTGGGATCCGGGGGTCAGCACCAGGCCACCTGGCTCGTTGTTCGAAGTGAGCCAGGGCGAGGGGGGAGGGGCCCGTAACCCAGAGAGGGGACGCAGTGCCACGGTGCTCACCGCTCCCGAAGGGCTTCACCGGCTCCACCAGCAAGCTCAGGAATGCGCTGACCTCCTCGGGCTCTGTCCCCGCCAGGAAGCGCAGGACGATGGCGGTGCGCGTGCCCGCGGCGGCCTTGCCCTGGGTTTTGCTCCCCGTCTTGTTCTTCATTCGCCCGTACAGAATCCTGCAGTCAGAGCACATCACCGAGCCTGTGGGCGCCCTGATTCTCAAGCGCAGGCGCAGCTGTCTGTCTCCCTCAAAGGCTGTTAGGGCAACTGGACAGGTTTACACGGATATGTCCCAAACCAAGACAGATCTCAGAGACGTAGCACATAGTTACAGAAGGAAGGGAAACAGAAGGCAACAGACAAAGGCCAGAAAGGTTTTCTTTGTGTGAGAAGATAGGCAGGTGAGAGGCAAATCTATCCCGGGACAAACGAGAAAGAAGAGTGCAGAGACCGAAAGGAAGTGAAGACACAACTACGGGCAAATAACGAAACTACCGTGACGAAGAGCTGAGAAAACACAGAAAGGAGCAGAGGGGGCGTCTGAAGGAGACCTCACCAGACCAGGGACCCGTGCAACACGAGAGCTTACAGGTGAATGTGCGAACTTTCAAGCAAAAAACTAAAACCAGGTTACAATTTCAGGGCAGACAGAAATCGCTGTTAATGAAGATGGAACACCTAATACTGACATGAGTTAACGAATAAAATGCATAAAACTGTGTACTAATTTTGCTTAAAAAAATTAAAACATTGCTGCACTAAACTAAAAAAGGGTAACCCGGGGACTACAGCAGGAGTGAAGTCTCGCAGACTAACACAGACCATGGGCTCACAGAGGAAGCTAACACAGCCACTTAACACGCACAGAAGGCTTCACTTCACGCGTGCTCTGGTCTAATCCAACACCCACTCCGGGGAAAATCTGTAACAACCTAAACATAGAAAGCTCCTTCCTCAGTGCCACACAAAGTACCGATTCGACATCAAAATCTAGACAGTGCTTTTCAAGATTTTCGATATGCGGGACCCCTTTACATTACTACTGAGATCCTCAGGAAGCTTTCAAATAGGGAGTTTTACCGACTGAGAGTTTAGTGTATTAGAAATTAGCACTGAGAGCAGGGTGTGGTGATGCACACCTGTAATCCAGAACTTTGGAAGGCTGAGGCAGGAGGATTGCAAATTCCAGCCCAGCCCACGCATGTCAGCAAAGCAAACAGTAGAAGGGCTGAATGGGGCTCAGTGTGAAGGCCCCAGGCAGTGACGGCCTCCACCCGCCCCTGTCTCAGCAGCCACGCTGTGAGGCGCAGCTCGGACAGTGGGGTTAGGGTTACTTTAACTCCATGTATGTGGCAACGAAGGATGGCCAGGGCGGCCTGGTGCCACTGTGCGAAGCACCGAAGTCACCAGCAGTTTCCCCACCTGGCCACCCGTTGGAGATGCCCCACGAGAGACAGAAGAGGCCGAAGGGACCTCAGAGACCTGCACCCAAGGAGCAGTGAGCACTGCACCTCGGCCCGGACAGAGGGCCCCTGTCACCACCAGTCACCCCGGGGGCCATGCAGGTGGAGCAGGTCACAGAGCCGAGCATAAGAAAATAAAGTGAGTGAAGGTCTCGCAAGTGACTAGGGTAAGGTAACTTTTACAGAAAGAGGTCGGGAAGGCACCTCCGAGGGTGCGGTCACCTAAGCATTGTGAAGCTATGCGATGCAACCCACTAGTCACCACCAAGTAACAAGAATTAGGCAGGGGCCAGGCACTGAGCTCATGGGTTCTGCCTCCTGCCTCGCAAGCACAAGGGTCCCAAGTTTGATCCTGGTACCGAAAAAAAGAATTAGGCGGGAACGCCGCACGCACACGGGCCTGGCTCCTGGGGCACTGGCACGAGAGACTGCAAAGCACCAGCTTCTCCGTTCTAGACACCGACGCTACGGAGATCATCAGAGACAGAGAAAACATTCCAACAGGGAAACTGATGGGAAAAGAACCTGCTTCTGGACGCGAACTAGATATCTAAGACTTAAAGCGGTTCATTTTCCCATCAAGAATTATGATTTTATGTATCAGTTTTAAATGAAATTTGTTTCTTGTTTGCAGCACTGGGGATAGAACCTTGCCCTGCCAGTCACTCCCACCCTGTGCCCTGAATGCTTCTGAGACAGGCTCTCATTAAACTGAGCTAGAACCTATGACCTTCCCGACTCAGCCTCCTACCCAGCTGGGACTGTACGCTCCTGCCACCATGTCTGGCTAAATTTAACTTTTTTTGCTTTGTTGTTTTGAATTATCACTATGTGGTACAGACTGGGCTTGAACTCAGCGATCCTCCTGCCTCAGCCTCCAGAGTGCTGGGATTACAAGTGTGCACCCCACCCTCCTGAATATACCTTCATAAAAAATAAAGGTATAGTTAGTAAGAATAAGTCATGAAGGAAAATAAAGAACTAATGACAATAATAAACATGTCTATAAAATTAAAACTTCTAACTAATCAAAGATTCATAGATAATCAGCATAACATTATCTATTTTGGAAACAACAAAATTAGCAAAAACTATAGTTAAACAAGATGTGGAACAGAGGGGACTTGGGTTAAGTAAATTATGGTGCTCCTGTGAAATGAGTGCTACTAATATGAAACATTTCACGATGTAAGAATCCTTACAATACGTAAGTTATGATCAAAGACACAGGGCCGGGACGTAGCACAGTGTGCAGCGCCTGTCTGGCAAGCCCAAGGTCCTGAGTGCGATCTCTGGCACCCCCACCACATACAGAGAGCTCGTTGCCACCGATCCCCTCAAATGCCCCCCCAGTTTGAACACACCCGTCCCATTGTGCTTGCCACTCTTTAACCTTCTCTGGAAGTCCTTTCTTGTGAGCATCTCTAAGTCAGGCCGCCAGGCCATCCTCAATGTCCCGACTCAACTCAAAATATTACCCTTGCGTGGTCATTCTGACTTTGAGGACGCAGTGTCTTTTCAAGGCTGCCTTTCAGTTGGACGGCACCTGGCGGCAGCATTCACCATATTTTTAACCACACCTTGCAAAGACCCTCATGACAGAGGACTCCAGAGCGGCTTCAGAAAGTGGCAAGAGCGCTGGGATAAGTGGGTTCGAAGAAAGGGGAGTCTTTGGAGGGGACTAATGGCAATGTATCTCTTACTGTAGTATCTTTTTACTTAAACATGCACTGCATCGTATTTTTGGATCAGTCCTTGTATTTTGGTGAAAAAAGTAGTATTTTATGCAAGATGATGTATTCAAATGGTTTTTGGTAGCTGGTATTTACTCTGGGCTTCATACAACCATCTGAGGTCTACTTTTATTTATTTATTTATTTATTTATTTATTTATTTATTTATGTCTTTTGAGACAGGGTCTCACCATGTAGTTGAGACTGACCTGGAACTCACTATGTAGCCCAGGCTGGTCTCGAACTCACAGCGATCCTCCTGCCTCAGCCTCCCGAGTGCTGGGACTACAGGCGTGCGCCACCACGCCCGGCTTGAGGTCTACTTTTAGAGAGTTCAAATACATTATTAGTATTGCTGACATCTCTGTTCTACAATTGTTTGACAGATCGTAAAGTCAACAGTTCTTATTTCTGAGTGTTGGGATAAAGCAATTTGTCTCCCATCCACCAATGCTAATTTTATATAGTCACTCATTCACTCATTAAGTATTCTGATGTCCACTATAGCAAACATCTTCAGGCCGGCTCTAAATGGGGTCAAAGAGCTACGGATGAGAGCCACGCAGGCTCCCGTTAATGAACAGGAAACAGCCCGATGACCCTACAAGACTGCGCCCCAAAACAGACCAACACACTGCCCGGCTGGCTGACAAGCAAAGGGCTCTGCAACCCCACCCCACGATCTTTCCAACACTCGTCGCAGAGCAGTGAGCACAAAGATTCACGATTCACTGCTCCACTCAGCGCTTAGGGTCGTCACACTATTTATGGGGTCATCTCTGCGCTCCACCGTTTATAATTTACAAAGCAGTAGCACTGCTAAATATCGTGGTCTCTAGACATTGGAATGAGTTATTTCCTCAACAGGAAACGTTATTTATACTTTCAACTAACCGCGTTTATCAGTAAAAAATACCTCATCAGAATAGGAAAGAGTTCTGCGCGGTGGGCTGTTCTCACGACAGCACTGTCTTCTGAAATGCTGAAATGCACTATCTCTTCCTTAAAGGTCCTGTCATCGAGCAGCCTTTGTAGGTTTTCCCTTTAAGAACAAAATGTAGCACAGATCGTCACGCAGGTCAACGTGCTTTGAGAACACGGAGCAGGGTGCACAGTGTGGCTGACGGTCATGAAGGCCAAGCCTCACGACACATCTGCGAAGTTCGAAAGGTCAAATGGAGCAGGAGGGATCAGATTTAGTCTATAACCGAGCCATTTAAAAGCACGATACAACAGCTTTCTTTAGTTCGAGCCATTATAATTCCCTAACAACCAAGATTTTATAGCATTATGTTAATGAAAGTCATGATATTAACTTTCACAATGTGTATTTTTAAATTAATGTTCGCTTTCCTACTTTATGATTCATAGAGAACGACCTTTAACAGATACATTTCCAGTTTTCACACATTGCTTTGAAACAGCATCATGACTGATTACCTTACAACACAGGAATTTCTCAGTCTTTAAGAAATTAGTTTAAAAGGGGCTACTATGTAAAAAGATAAAGACCAACCAGAGAAGTAACATTTCTTCAGCTCCGAGTGACTCACCTGTAAGGAAGGATATGAGGGTGTTTGTATGTCATGATGCAATCCAAGGTTATTTTCTGCACTGTTTGGTCCTGGTGTAGCAACAGCTAGGGACAATGTTTGACAATAAATGAAGTAATATATACAACAGGATAGAAATTTACTTATGTTAATTTCCGGAATTACATTTCCTTCAGATAAGTTACAGCTCAATCCTGACAACAGCCCTACATTTTCCTGGAGTCAATAGAGGATGGCCGGAGTATGTGCAAAGAAAACACGGGAAGTGAAATTCGCACTCAGTTCTGAGAATGTGGCCGGCCCTGTGCGGAGAACCTGTACACCAGGAAGGCAGCAGCTGAAGGGAGGTGCCAGGGAAGGAGGCCGGGGTCCGCGGCCCCTGACGGGGGAGTTAGGAGCGCTGCTCCGGGGCCTCACCAGCAAGGCCTGTCTGAATCATGGGCAGGACAGAGGGAATTCTGCCCAGAGTCATTCAGTCTAAAAACACTTAAGTAAAAACAACTTCATTTCCCCAGATAATTCAGAATGATATCCAGTATGTATTCAGCTTCTGACATTAACTGTTTTGCTTGCAACCTGCTCTGGATTCAGGGACATGTGCTGGATCCTGCCAAGCCCTTGTCTGCTCTCCTGTCACACAGATCCTGAAGTCCAGCTCCTCCACGGAGGCTGAACCAACTAGAGGGGAGAAGTTGACAATTGTCTTTGGTATAATCTCCATTCTCCTGTAAAAGCTAATTCCTATGGCATAATTTATGCTTTATTTTTTTCACTTCATTTTAAAATTTTTATACGGTACCAGGGATTGAACTCAGGACCTTGTGCTTTGCGAGGCATGTGGCAGTACCACTGAGCTAAATCCCCGGCCCACTGTTTTCACTTTAAATACAATGTTGGTCAATGTTTAATAGCCCGATATGCCTTTAAAATCAAGTAAACTAATGCTACCAAATTATTTCTCAAGATAACAGGAAATGTCTACCGATTTAAATTCTAACTTAAAATCTAGACATGGGCCTATTCACCAAGCAGTGAAAATCTGAAAGTTACTTTGGCAAAGAAAATGATAGAGAAAATTTTACAAGAGTTGGAGTGCCAAGAATTTAGTTTACAGCCGGGCATGGTGGCACACGCCTGTAATCCCAGCACTTGGGAGGCTGAGGCAGGAGGACCACTGTGAGTTCGAGACCAGCCTGGGCTACATACATAGTGAGTTCCAGGTCAGTCCCAACTACATAGTGAGACCCTGTCTCAAAAAAAAGCCAAAAATAAATAATTGAATAAATAAATGAAATAATTTAGTTTACATACCTGAAGATACAATTCATATAACTTGGATTCCAGATATAAGGCTCGTGGATTTGAAAATTTAGAGAAAACTTGCAAATGAACAATTAACTGCCTAAACAAAAACAAAATAGAGAGCATCATTTAATTAAAGAATACTACTATTTTATTCCTCTGATGAGTATTCTAAACACCCCGCCCAGGTTTCAGTTAATTACACAAACTAATTTTAATTATGTACATTTAGGAAATTATTGTCCAGAAACTCCCAGCTTAGGCAGGCCTCTCCTTGAAATCTGGGCTCCCCACCCCAGAAAATCCTTCAGGATGTGCTTAGAATGATTCAAACCAAAATTAGAAAGAAAGCAATAAAAGCTACGTCCCAAAGGTGAGCGCAGGCGACCCTGGGAATTATTTCTTGTCTGATTATTTCCTGTCCAGCAGACAGCAAAGTGGCAGAACAGACTCTCCCTCACTTGCCAGTAACACAAACGCCAATGTCAGGCGACTGCGGTCCCACATCAGAGCACAGTGGCTCCTTCACCTCAAGGAGGAAGAGAGCAGCGCTCTGTGGGTCAAACTTAAGCAGGAGCGTGGGACGTCCCCACAAAGGACACCAGCTACTGAGACCGACAGGCCAGCGCCGAAGGCATTCACCTGACCAACTTCCTCATCCACAGACTCCATCTGTCAAGGAGGCTAAAAACTCCTCTCGGCACACAGCGTGTGAGGTCTATGCACTAGCACCCGAGGGGCGTTAAGTCTGAGGGTCAGGAGATTTATCTGCCCATTTAGGAACAGAGGGAGGAGCACCTAACTCAAGTTTGACCCCATTCCCACAAGCTAAGCACCCGGAAACACCCTGGGCTTTCTGTGGGGACTAAAGAAAGCGAGATGCGCTCTGAGCACGGTTCGGCAGACTGGGACGGCTGGGAAGAGCAGCGCACACGGAAAGTGGGCCTCTGCTCCTGAGGGCGCCGTTAAACGGTGGGTCTCCGCTTCTGCGAGAAAGAGGGCAAAGCGATGACGGCCCCGAGGGACCAGAGCAGATGAGCCGGGGCCACGGCCTCCTCAGAGAAACAGCCCGCGGCTTTACAAATACTCTCACATTTTTCCACGGAGGCATCCACTCCCTGCGCTGAGGTTTAGTAACACTTTCGTATGCATCGCGCAGCCTCAAAGAATCCAAGAACAGGAGCTAGTCTGCAGCGCTGGGGAAAACTCGCCCAGACGCCGCTCCCAGAGATCGGCCTGGGCCGGCGCCCCGACGGCACCGAGTGTGATGCCCGCTCGCCAGCTGCCTAAGAGCACCCGGTCGGGTCTGCAGGTGTGGATGGGGCAGCAGACAAATCACACCCGGGCCTTACATGCACTAATAGCGCTCCACCACCAAGCGACAATCCCGGCGCGACAGGGACCGAATTTGGAAAGGTTCCCGACTTCCGCGGGAGAGCTGTGAAGACTTAAAGAAGAGGCGCGCAGTGGCTCCCGACCCCCGCTTTCACTCTGCCTCCGCAGATGGGAAACCCTCCGGTGGGCACCAAAGCCGTCCGCTCCGGGTACGGAGTCTTCCCAGCGTGCCGGTCCTCACTTTAAGACTTTAACGCCTATTTCTTCTGTAGAATCGCCAGCCGCGACCCGACCTTCCAGAGCGAGGCGTCTAGCAAAAGGCAGTCAGGACAGCTGCTCCTGGGACGTCCTGTGGGATTACTCGACAACGAGCCACAGTTGTGAAATAACAGAGGAGCGCTGAGCCAGGGGATCTCAGGCACCTCAGCTCAGCCTTCGGAGAACCTGAAATGACTTCTGAAGGCAAGGGCGCTTCCTTTTTTAGGTTTGTAACTATAACCAGCAGGAAAGAAAGAAAGGCAGGGAACAGTGCCCCCCCCTCACACCCCACGCGGCGCCTACGGCTGTGACGGCGAGCGAGTGTCCGGAGGGTTTAAACACGCGAGCCCAGGCGCTGCAATGTGCCGCAGCGACCTCAGAAGCCCTGCAATTCTGGCCTTCTGTGGCCAAACGAGAAGAGACTGATAAGGGGCAGCCAGGCGCGACCCCACAGACGGACAGAGGCAGGGCGGTCATTCAGGAAGAGCAGACTCAGGAGACCGACAGTTCTGCCTGGGCTGTGAAAGAAAACCCAGGGAGGTGCAGCCGCACTCATGAGGACCCGTCAGGGTGTTCGTCTTCCCGCCCACAACTGAACATCTGCAACGGTCGGCGGGACAACTCACTTTACGGCCGCTCTGCGTGTCTTTTTCCTCCGGGGGGGCTCGTCCGGGGGGCTGGCCTCTTCCTCCAGATCCTCTTCATCTCCGGCAGCGGGCTCCTCTCGCGCCTCCTCTGCGCCCGACCCTCTGGCCCTTTTCCGCAGATCCTGGGCTGGAGCCACCTGCAGATCCACGGGGTAGTACTCGTTGCTGCCGCGGGGCGAGAGCGACAACGCAGATGAGAAGGCACACTCAGCGCTCAGGTCCCCCAGGGTCCCCGCGGGCAGGCCCCCGTCGAGCTGCTCCCACAGCACCCTCTGTCGCGCCAACCCAAGCGGTGGAAGATGCCCACCCACCGGCACAGCACTGCAAAGATTTCAGACTCGTGAAATCTGCCTGTACCTGGAATCTAACTGTGGTATTAGGGTCACAGTATCACCGCACCCCAGATACATTCTACTCTGTAATCTCCTTTGAAAAACACAGCACCGCAGCCCCCAAACACGGTGATCTTGAGCAGAAGAGCAGAGCCAGAGGCATCTCACTCTCGGTCCTCAACACACACCGAGAAGCAACAGTGAGGCCTTAAAGCAGATGCACGGATGAGCGAGCAGCACAGGGCCCTGCAGGAAAACCCACGCACCCACGGCGAACACCGACCCAGCAAGGCCCTCAGAGCATGTGCTGTGGACAGGAGAGTACTGTCAAGGAACAGCGCTGACGTGCAGGGAAGGACGGAACTCGAAGCCTCTTTGACCAGAAACAAAGATCAACTAAAATGGATTGATGAGTGCATTCAGTATGTACTGCCAAGTGGATGAGACACTGGGAACTACAGAGCCAGAAGGCAAGGGTTTGATTGGCTTTTGTTTTTGTCTGTTTTTTTTTTTTTTTAAATAAGACCCTGAAAGCACAGCAAGCAAAAGTAAAACCAAACCAGGTTATGTCAAACTAAAAAGCCTCTTAAAAAAAAAAAATACACACACACACACACACACACACACACACACACACACACACCCCTGTTCTTATTAAATCCCATCCTTCTAGCCTTTCACCAGCTGGAAGTCTGTCTTTCAGTGCAATAATCTGTGCCACTGTATTTGTTCATTTACCTGACTGATGTTTTGTTGTCTACTGTGTGTGCTGCACCAGGCTAGAGAAGTAGGAAACGTATCAGACTTACAAGATCTCATTCAAACACTGACTCATACACTCATTAAAAAGTATACCGATAAAATAACACGTTTGAGGGTAGGACCTTACTAACCCTCCCAACAGAAACTCTAGTTGCACAAGAAAATAACAGCAAGGATCGACAAATGGGATCTCATCAAATTAAGAAGCTTCTTCATGGTGAAGGAAACCGAAAGTGAAGAAACAACCTACAGAATGGGAAAAAAATGTTGCCAGCCATTCCTGACACAGGACTAATATTATGTTATATAAAGAAGTAAAAAAATCAGACTCCCCAAAATAAAAGACACCATCAAGAAGTGGGCAAGTGACACGAACAGGCACTTCTCAGAAGTACGAAGGGCCAATAAATGCATGAAGAAACGTCGGCCATCTCTGGCCATGAGAAATGCAGACTACAACACCACCAGACTTCATCTTACACTGCTCTCGTCTGTACATAAACTTCTGGCCAAAGACCGACACGAGGAGGAGGAGACCGCACTTCACCTCCACACGCGCTGACCTGCGCACCGCCTCCTCACAAACCTCCTTGGCTGCGCGGGGCCCCACCCCGTCTCAGCTATCAAGGACACGGCTCTGGCCGCTCCATCCTCTCGTCCCCAGCTCCCCTCCCTCCAGGTCACCCGAGTGCTGTTGACATCTCGTGGCTCCATCTGCCCCAGCTCCCGGTCTACTGCACCACACTTGCTTCCTTTACGAGGCCGCACTGGCTCCTCGCTCCTTCCCACGTCCCGTCCCGAGAGCGCATTTCCCCAGCCCCCATTCACACCACATCAACCACGACTCTCCTGAGGTTGCCTCAGCCTCAGACAACTGATCACTCCCCACTTCACGTATTCTCGGTGTTGCACCGGGGACACCAGGTGATCCTGGCGCTCCTGTGGCCTCCTCCCCTGCTTTCCCGACTCCAAATACTTGTGTCAATCCTTGGTAGTTTTCTAGTTCTGCACTCACACCCGAGGTGACTTCTTTCTGATACCTTTAACTACCATAAACCGGAGATTCCAAACGTACTATCTCCAGGTCGAGCCCCCCTTCAACTCCAAACTTAAATTCAAGGCCTAAGTGACAGCTCAAACTGAACAGGTCTTCAGAGGTACTCTTGAATCTCCCCGAGAAGTGACAACTCCTTCATGCGCCTGATCTCAGCAAATGCTAACTCTCCTTTGAGTTGCTCAGGCCAAAACCTTACAAGACATACTCACTTCCCACCCTCTTCCATGTTCTTTGCAAACACCACACAATACCTGTAACGTGTACAACCTGTCAGCAGATCCTGCAGCTCATCTACTGCAAGTCTTCAAAATAGCAGGCCGAGGCAGGAAGGTGGCGAGTTTGAGCCCAGCCCGGGCAACATGGCCACTTAGTGAGACCCTGTCTCAAAATAAGTAAGTACTGGAGGGCCAGGGCAGTGGCTCAGTACAAAGCTCTGGGTTCCTCCCTAGTATCTCACAGGCGCGCGCACACACGCACGCACATGCGCACGCACACACACACACACACACCTCAGAAAATCAAAACCCTTCAAAAGTACTCCTTGGGAGGGCTGGGGATTTAGCTCAGCAGTTCGGTAGCCTGCCTCGCAAGCGCAAGGACCCGAGCTCAATCCCCGGTACCACAAAAAAACAAAAAACAAAAAAAAAGTACTCCCCGGGACTGCTGCAGCTGTTGTCGCGTCCCCAGTCAGTCTCGCAGTCCCTCCTGCCCGCTCCCTGACACCGCCTTGCCGTGGCCCACTCAGCACCACAGCCAGGAAACCTGCAGTTCAGGCGACCATCACCTGCCTTGGCCCCACCGGCCCCACTCACGGCTGCTAAGGCCAGCGTCCTCACCGCCCCTCAGAGGCCACGACCTGCTCTGCCCTTTGCTTCCTGCTCCTTTCCAGCCTTGCTCCCCACCTTACCTCCAACCTGTCAGGACCACTAGACGCCCTTGCTGTGCCTCGGATGAGCCGGGTCTGTGGTGTTTTCCCACCTAACAACTTCTCACTGCTTGGGTAGTTGTTCTGCACGCCAGGGCCCCCATCTTCAGGGTTTAAAGCAACTGGACTCTTACTGACAAGGCACAACATCAGAATGGTGCTCCAGAGAGTTCACACAGTCCTCAGCATGCGGGAGATAAGGAGGGCTCAAAAGAGAAGGGGCCAGGCCACTGGGAAACATCTTCCAGTCCCAGGCAGGCAGCGAGACAATGCGCACAAGAGAAGAAATACCAAGGCCTCTGCACAATGATGAAATGCTATTCGGTCCTGCTCATTTGGCAGCTTAGGACATTTTTATTAGTACACAGGTTATATAAATTCAGTGGTGAGCAAAACTGGTTTACTTGTTACCTGACAGCGCTAGAGCTTTAGAGAAACCGTGACAGACATACAAAGAGCTCAGCCAAGCTGGGGAAGGGAATACTTCCTACCTGCTCTTCCACAGACCCCACCAGGACCATACACCCGGACGAGGACACTCACTTGATAAATCTCAGGAAAAGCGGGGACAGCTCCCGGGACCGGGGCTCCACTCTCTCTGGGAACTTTGCCAGAGCCCGCCAGAGCAAAAACCGGAAGTTGGCATGGTCGAGTCTTTCCCGACAGTCGGTCTGCAGTGCTAACTGCTCCTCATACAGAGCCCCGACGCCTCCTTCTCGGGTCTGCCCCCCACCTCCGTCTCCAGTGGGCCTCTTGTCTTCTACGTCGCTCTGCAGCTCTTTCTCTGCAGGAGAAAAGGCCATCACAGTGTTGAGAAGGTGAGTACTGTGCTGTCTGCTTAAGAGACGACATTCTCTAGCAACCTAAGGGAAACAGAGGACATATCCCCAGCCCGTTTCCCGTTCCGTGCATAATTACACAGCAAAAGTAAAGTGTTGAACAGACGCCATCTTCCCGGCCCCTACCTACCCGCACGTGCAGCTGCTTTTTCCAGATGTTCATAGTACACTTTCCAAAACTGCTTATTTTCCATTCCATGAGCATGAGAACTAAAAGCAAAGAACACAGAGCATGTGGCACAGCGCAGTCTCCATGACACCTCACAGGGAAAGGGAAGGGCTGAGCGCGAGACTAAAATGTCGGGAGTCCTACGGCGTGGGGCTGTAACAACTTTTGCTCTTTCCCGTATTTTTCAAAATGCCCACAATGTACTAATTATATTTATAGTCAAAGAGTCTAAAGAGTATTTTAAACAATATAAATGGACTCCTATAAAAAGACTACTTCTAAGGGCACAACAATAGGAATGGGACACACACGAAGCATGGCCCATTAAGGAAGACCTCTTTCTGGACAGAAATATCAGCGTGCTCAAGGCTAACGTAACAATGTTGGCCTCCCTCCAGCAAATCCAGGAACACTAATAGCTCAGAGGCAAAGCAGACCTCCACTGACTTCCTGAGAAATCCGTTCCGGTCTTTAGCAGAGACACGCAATGAACCGCACAGTATTCACATAGTCTGGTATCTCAGCAACGATATTCTCTATTTTCTCATATTCTTTGCCACTCATTTTCTAAGAATATGTATAAACTTTACACAAGAGAGGAACTCCAGGAGCCCAGCTCGGGCCAGGGGAGAAGCACCGAGGGCCCCGGTACAGGAGAACGGACCTTGCTGACAGGGACTGTCGGTAACGCACACGGTGGTCTCCTGACAAAACCATAGCAAAACTGACGTCAGAAGGCCCATTTTCAGCACACTGTTGTGAAAGGCAGACAAACTGGTTCAAATTGGGAAAAGGATTCTTTTACTCTTCTGTCAAGCAAGAAGTAAGAGCCAGGACTTTGAAAGGCCACGGGGACATATTTCTAACCCGCCAAGCCCGCCAGGCCATCTGCAGACAAACGTCTGGAAGACAACAGAGTCCTCCCGAGGCGCCAGGCCCCTCCGTGTGCTCTGACTACTACGTCCCGGCAGAGGGCCCTGAACAATACGAAGGGGCTTTTGTACACTAGGCAGCAAAGGTTTTGAAAAGTCCTTTATAGTCACGGCTTAACGACTTGATGTGTGAAGTTATTACAGTATGCCTTTCTGCTATAAATAACTTTGGTGGCACAGAGGCAGGTGGACAGAGAGGAGGGGCTCCGAAGCCATTTCAGGGTACACAGAGGCAGACACACAACGCTGAGCTCCCGGAAGCGGGAATTGGAGTCACTGTTCATTCTTCCTCACCTGTGTCCCGCAAAGGCGCTCAGCCCTCTGCGGCAGGAGCAGGTGGCGCCATGCCTGCTGCCGTGCGGTCAAGTGAGGGCCCTCCCGTGGCCTACCTTATAAGCTCGATCACAGGGTCCCAGAGCGCGCTGAAGTTGACGTACAACATGCCCAGCAGGTAACGGAGGGGCACCTGCAAGCACAGGGACTGTTTCACAAGCAGGGAACAAGGCGCGAAGACCACAGACGCCCCGGCCTGGACAGCCCAGGGCTCACAAAGAGGCTGCGGAGACCAACCCAAAATTCAGTGCATAATCATTTTCTTCCTTTTCCAAAAGTCATCCACGATTAAAGAGAAGAATCTCCATAACAAACAGCATCTGAAGTCATTCCAGATGTTCATTTGACAAAAAATTAAATTCCACTCTTATGAACACCTGCTCACACACGCCAGGCAAGCACCTTACCTGGGAAGTCTTCAAAACTGTACTTTAAAAAAGGTCACTTCAGAGGGTCTAACGTTTTCTTTTAATTTCTTACAGTCCTGGGGTTCAGACCTTGCGCGTGCTAGGTGAGTGGTGTACCTCTGAGCTACATCCCTAGCCCTTCCTATTTTTATGCGAGACAAAGTCTTGCTAAGTCACCCAGGCTGGCCTTGAACTTGCGGTCCTCCTGCCTCCACACAGGATTTCTCTTTTAAGTTTCAAATACCTTTATCCCCCGGTACTGAGGATTAAACTCAGGACCTTGCACTTGCCAGGCAGGTTCACGACAATGAGCTAAATCCCCGGCCTGGCGTACTGATGAGGTCTGTGTCGCTTTGGATGAAAAACAAAATCAGTGATCAATAAATTAATAATCATCTTTTCAGTTTGTTCAGGATTGGGAGTCCTACTTGATTCACGCAATGGAAACTTCAGATATGCAAACCAAGAGAATAATGAGGAAGACTGAGACTTGACTTTCAAAGTCATTTTGTTAGAAAACATAGTGCTTTACTTTTGGCTCATTTTTAAAAACCACAACTTTTAAAACAGTGGCCACCAAGACCACCATGATAAAAAATGGACCTTACTGAAGGACCATGATACGCAATCAGCCCACTTTTGAGGATTGAACGGACTTTTTCCCTCCTAGGAGGCTGCTGAGGGTCAAAAACTCCTATGTGTTTTTTAGTTATTTTGTTATGAAAATACACATTGAACTTGTCATTTAAAGAAAAAGCCATAAAGAAAATTACAAAGTATCTCTCTACACGAGAAAGAGGGATTAAACAGTAATTTCTTTAGCATTCACTTGTTCTACGAACAACTTTCACAGTACAGTGGCCTGGGGCAAGGGGCTACGCTCAGATGATCCTAAGACCCAATCCCTGAGAAGCACAGAGTAGGGGACTCACCGAGGAGCAGCCACTGCGCCTCCTAACCCAGGCACGCATGGCCCACCACTGTGACCCGCCTGCCAGCCCAAGTCCCGTGGGGAGGTCGGGAAGCCCTTCTCAGCCAGGACCCGGGCTCTCACAGGCTTCAAGAGAGCAAGACCCAAAGGGGACGGGGCCTCCGGAGCCTCAGCTAAGTCCCCGTCGCAGGCCTCAGCACAGGAGGGAGGACGTCTCAACCACACCAGTCTGCGCTTCCCCCACGCAAACGGCCCCCTGGTCCCCGACCCTGCGCTCCTCCTCCCTGCTTTCCCTGAGGAAATCTTTTCTTTCTTTTAAATTTTGAGTCAGGGCCTTATGAAGTTACCAGGTGGGACTCAAACTTGTGAACCTCCTGCCTCAGCCTCCTAGTGTGCAGGACTGCAGCGTGCAGCCACCACACCCTCGGCCCCTGGCGACCTCCACAACTCTAAGATGCCGGGTGCCACTGCCCCAGTCCTGGGACTCCGTTTTCGCTTCCTCGTGTGACACGCGTCAGCCACTCACACTCTTCCTCTACCACTGCTTTCCAAGGGTGGAATCTGCACCTCGGAGCTGTCACACCAACAAAACTGGTTTAAGAAACAAAATTCTGCCAAGAGTTCATGCACAAAATTAAATGAATCTGCAGCATCTGAGGCTGCGAGGCTAACACTTTCCACGCTCCTGTGCCGCCTGCTGTCACCAAGGGAGACGCTGCTGGGCTGCGCCCTTCCCGTCCCTCCAGGAAAGATGGCGAAGCTGAGCGAGGGCTGCGGTCCCCGGCCGTGCCTTCCCCACCTGCTCCTGCTGTCTGAAAGGCTGGGGCGCCTCTGGCCTCGCACCAGGACCGCAGACTGATGCTTCATGAACAAACTTTCTTGGTAGCCACAGAGTACGCCTCCCCAGACAAGACTCAAACTGCAAATTCAGGAGGAAAAATCAAGCGGACGGGCGAGGACACCACTTTTACCTCCTGCAGCGGCCCGTCGGGGACGGCAGCGCACACGGCGTCGTGCCTCAGCTTCCTCAGGTGAAGCAGCTTCTCCCTGTAGTCATGCACGGTGGCGGGAACCAGCTCCGCCTGGTGCAGGACCGCGATGGCCGACGGCCGCCCCGAGACTGCGTCTTCCTGTGGGCCGAGAGTGCGGGGCTCAGCTTGTTTGCCGGGAAGAACATTAAACGCGGCTGGACTGGAGGTGACGGAACTCAGACGTTGATGCTCTCAGTGAGGTCAGGGATGCTTTCCCTGCAGCCCGTTCAGGGTTAGTGTGCAGCTCAGAAAAGCAAGGTAACCAGGAGAACGGTCCTCAAACCGGCGATGCAAGGATCGTGCAGTCTCTTCCACCACGCGGCTGAACGACGGGACCATTTCCCTGCGGCACAAAACCCACACAGCCAGCCGCACAGGGACCAGGGCGAGTAGGGTAGTTAAACCCGGGCGCACCATGCAAACGTTAAGAGATGGGAGGTAAAGCCAGAGTGACTGGCATGGAGAACTCCCGTGAAAACCTCGGTTTAAATTGTGCACGTGTATGGAAAACTGCAGAAAGCAGACGCGCCAAGAATCTGAGGATTTTCAGTAGTAGCCTTGGTGAGTGGGAACAAGAATTCAAATTCTAACGTTTACGCCAGGTATTTATATAGTGTATTATAGAGTGCACAGTTAATACAGGTATTTGTATAGTGTGCTAGAGTTCAGCGAAGATATCCTTCCAAAAACTCAAAAGAAAAACGTAAGACTAGTTTTAAAAAGCTACCCACTTAAGCAGTTCAAATACCTCCATCGATTCTGGAAGCCGGGTATCAAAGTGGTTCAGGATTCTTATTGTCAGAAGCCGAATCTAGAGACAGTAAAAGGCATATTTCAAACCGCAAAGGTGGAGTGGAGGAAGAAGCTGATTTCCAGGTGGGGATCCGAGGAGCATGTGCCTGTCCAGCCCTCACTGCCACCCAGTGCCACCTGGCGCCTCACTCATCGGTCAAGGATTGATGAACATGGGGGCTGGGGCCAGGCCGCCCCACACTGAGCTGTTTCTTTAACTATGACACCAGAGGCCCCTCTGTAAACAACTACAACGAGCTGGGTAAGCTTCCAGTCGACGGAATCAGGCAATCTTCGTTCAGCTATGTCATTCACTACAGGGCTTTAACTGTACTGAACCCAAATCCTGGGGGTGCGACCTCGAATCTTATCTGATCAAGACCCTCACAGATCCTGCTGCTGGCCAGGCCAGGCCAGTGGCGAGGAAGGCTCGGGCTGACCCCCGGCAGCCCTTTCTGGAGTCCCTGTCTGGCTCTGGTGACCGCCGGGGTTGCAGGGAGACCGCACCACGGGACACATCACCTTGGAAGCACCAGCTGAAAGGTTGGCCTGTAGCCCGGCGAGCAGCTCCATCAGCGCGGCCTCAGACAGCGGCCCTCTGCAGCCACACAAGGCCAGCCTCTGGTAATAGAGCTCGGCCAGCAGCAGCACGGGAGGCTCTGTGGGAAACGCCCTGCAACGAGACGGACAGCAGGCCCGGCCGGGCCACAGAGCTGAGCCCTGGGGCTATGCCGTAAAGTGCAGACCATCGCCAGCTACGGGCCACAGGGACAGGCCACGCAGAGGCCCGATGTGGATGCCTGGCGCTCTCAGATGAGCGACACGCAGCCGGCCGGAGCGGAGCAGAGCCCCTGAATTCAGTCTGTCTGCTCCCTCCCTCTCCCAGTCCTCATCCTGCACCTACACTGCCCCGGCTCGGACACACTTCCATCCCTAACCACTAGACTATCCGACCCAGGCCTGCTCTGTGTTCGCCGTATTCAGCTTGATGTCTCTCGGTAAAACATTAGTGCTACAGACAGGGAATTCTGTTTGACCACCTGTGCTTCCTGGGAGATGCTGACAGAATAGTGAAGAAGCAGTCTGCTTTACAAAGTCTGGGGATTCCACGGCTCGCCTCCAAGCAATGCCTTTATCAGGTGTCCCGAGGGCCTGGCTCCAGAAAGGGGCGCTCTTGAGTCCACTACACTATGCTACTACCCAAACCACAGGCTGGCTGAGCTACACCTAAAAGACCAACCAACGAGCGGGGCTGGTTCGGCACCAGTGCGGCAGAAAGGCCACAGGAAGGTTTTCTACAGTGCAGCACCGTGAGGGCCGGGAAGGACGACCCTGCGAGGCGCTTTCCATTTTACGACCTCCATGGACACAAACAAAAAACCCCTTTAAAAAACTGAATCTGTATTTAAAGACGATGTCAGAAAACGTACTTATTTTCATCGGAAGATCTAAAGCAATATTAAGCTTCACTATGTGACTACAACTCAGCTACACAACAGGTCAGGGCTCTTATTACATCTAAAACTTCAAAGCTCAACGGCTTTTGTGTTTAATCCACCGTGCAGCCAAGTGGGAGCTCCGCTTACTCACAGCACCAGGTTCTTCACTCGGTCCACAGGAAGCAGGCGAAGGAGTTCAGAGGCGTCTTCCAAGCTCAGCAGAGTGCTCACGGCTTGACAAAGAACAAACAAATGTCCTAGGGGAAGCAAAACGGGGAGAACACACCACTTGCTTCCCCGCCCCGACCAGCTAACCTCTCGTGTACCCAACACGGTCCCGGAGTTGGGACAGCGCAGTCGCGCCTTCCGGAGGGCTCTCCAGCCGGGTCGGCTCGGAACACAAAGGAGCTAAAGGGCAGCGCCGTTTTCTACTTCATCCTTCACACGGCACACACTTAGCGCAGAGAATAAAACCCACAGGCCACTGCAGGACAAGGCACAGCTGAGAACCTGAAACCCTGGAGAATTGCTGGGCTACTCAGAATGTCTGGGAGTTTCGAGAATTTCCAGTTTGGGCTTTTTAAGTTTGGGATGGTCAACCAGTGAAGTCTATGCACACACTTCTATAACCCCGGGGTCCCGACCGGAAACAGCCCTGGTGCAAGCCCATCGGGGTTATTTATACTCAACCTATCCGTGGAACGGTTCCCCACTCCAACTTTTGATGACAGAAGAACTCAAATCATCTTGTATACATCTCATGTTGCTGTTATTCCCCAATCCTAAGAAATGGCATGTCCAACATCTACTACCTAATTCACACGCAGTCAAAAGTAAGTACTCTAATCTCCAGCTCAGAGCCAGAAATGGGTGGCCCACAAGTCAGACCTATTAGGCAGCCCATTTTTACAGGCCCTGAAATCTGAGAATGTTTCTATAACCTTCCTCAAGGGCTACCGGAGTAAGGGACAGACGCTGCACAGACACGTGGTCCAGCAGATCTGACACACGTGCCATCTGGTGCTTCTGCCAAGCCCTGCTGCAGACGCTGGACCGGTGCCGTCCAACAGAAGCCTCTGCCGTGATGCAAGTCCCGGTGCCACAACCCAGCATGGCAGGCGTCAGCCTCGGGCGGCCATGGAGCACTGGGCCGCGGGGGTCTGGTCCTCCCTGACGTACCTGCTCAGGGTCCAGCAGTGGGGCGGGTGAGGATTTAAGTGAACCAATGACTTACGCACGTACCAGGAGACAGTACTGCGGCGAGATAAAACGAAGCCCTGCTTCACACTGCTGTCCCCGGGCTTGGGGAGAGGCACAAGCCTAGAGCAGGCAGTGGGTCTGGGGCAGGGCAGCCTAGTTCTGCCCCAAGGAGGCAGGAGGGTTTTCCTACAAGTGCTGGGCCCAAGCTGAGTTTCTAAAGTGAACTAAGCAGCCACTGAGTGACAAAGACTCAAAACAGTCCCCAGGCGGCGGGAATACACATACAAGGCCACCCTCGCTCAGTGTAAGCCAATGGAAATGCCTGTGCTCCAGGGGCAGGGCAGGCACGGGACAGGGGAGCAAGACGCAGGCCTGGCCTCGGATGCTCCACACTGCGCGCGTGTCACTTCCTCGCGTCGGGCTGTGTGGCCCGGACACCTCTCTGCAGTGAGACACGCCCACTCGCTCTCCTTTCTCCCTGTGTTTATTCATCACAACATTAGCTCCGTTCCCTGCGCTGACAGTTACACTGAACACACCAGAAAGCCGGAGGAGCTCAGAGGGTGATCATGACTGACCTGTCCCAAAGTCCCCGCTGTCCACAGTCCTGAAGAGCGACTCCACGAAGCTCATCACCTGGGCGAGCACCCGTGCTTTCTCAAGAGGCCTGTCCGAGGTGCAGAGAGGAAGTTCACACCGGCACGCAATCGCTTTTCCACACAATGGCTGATGTGTGAACCAGCACCCTCGCCCACGCGGCCGATCTCCTTACCGAACGTGAGGCAGCACCACGAGCGCTGCCCAGGACTGCGCGAGGGAAGTCGGCTCTGGACCTGGCGGGGACTGAATCACCGACAAGAGATGGTCCAGCACTACAGACTGCTGCTCTCCTTCCTTGGACCGAGTCTTCCTCTGCCTTGAGTAGGATATGGAGAATGTAAAAGTAAAACACTCAGGGGACGAAAGGGCTGCTGCCCGCTGACGTTGGAAAGGTGCTGGCTCCTCTCCACGGAGAGGGATTCGGGGAGCAGGAAGCTCGTGGGGGAGGCTACGGACAAACAAGCAAACACATGTGTCCTTTGGGGGTTTTCTGCGAGGCTCTTCCGACTGCACTGGCTCATTCATGCACTGTAAACCAGCCGTGTGCTTATCACACAGGCCGATGACACCGCTGTAACGGCCCAGATACTGAAAATGTCCTGCAACGGGTGAACAGCTGAACAAATGCCCCATCTGAGCTGAGAACGGTGCCCTCCAACACAAAGGAATTGGGCTGAGTGAAGAGTCAGTCCCAAAGGGCGGGTGCTGTACTTCCGTACACACAGCACTCCTGGGATGGCATCTAAAGAAGACTAGGTGAGAGAGGCTGAGGATGGAGGGGAATGGACGAGTGTGACCTCAGAAAGACAGCAGTAGCTGTCACCCCAGCACTCTGGGAAGCTGAGGCAGGAGGATCACAAATTCAAGCCCAGCCTGGACAACTTAGCGCTTTACTGGGACTATCTCAAAAATAGTCTTTTTGAAGGGCTGAGGATGTAGCTCAGTGTGACGGCCCTGGGGTTCAATCTACAAAAAGGCAAAGAAAATAGAAAAGATAGGCTGATGCTGTTTGCAGTGCTGGGACAGTCCCGTCTTCCGCTGGTGGTGAGACAGAAGTGCCCAGGGTCACACGCACACCTGTGTGCACACATTCAGTTGCGTGCACAGAAAGCAGGAGCCCTGAGCGAGGGTGGGGCCCGTCCCAAAGCCTGTTTCTGGCTGTGACACTGCGCTCAGGCAAGACGGAGCCGGCGGGCGGAACGCGGCACGTCCCTATGCTCCCTGCACCTGCACATGGATTTCTGATTATGGCAAAATAATTCTTTCCCACCCCACCCTCCTGGTGGAAGCAAAGCTAACAGGCTCGTCTCCTTCCCTGTGTTTCCAGGCTTATGACTGCGGGATGGGACCAGAGTGCGTGCAGCCTGCGTCCTTTCCCACAGCACCTCTGGTCGCCGAGCACAGGCCCGCTCACCGCCACCAGGGCCGGGTGCAGGACTCACCCCCCAGTCCGCAGCCTGAAGAGCAGCGGGTACTTCTCAGTCGCCATGGAGCCGGCAGCAGGAGGCGCTTTGTTCAGAATGAGCTTGGCCAACATGGCCAGGGCCTCACCCCGGACCGTGGAGTCATTAGCGGAGAAGCAATCCTCAGTGTACACGAGAAAGCTGGGCAGAAAAAGCTGAAGACAAGGAGGAAACCACACTTAGCGACAGGAGATTCCAGAACACCCAGGAAAAGAAGATCACACTTCTAAAATAGAAAAGGTTATGCGTGCCTGCTATCCCTGTAAGCTGAGGCAGGAGGATTGCCAAGTTGCAGGCCACTCTGTGCAACTCTGTGAGGCTCAGTCTCAAAATAAAAGGATTAAAAGGGCAGGGTGTACAGCACAGAGGTAAAGCTCTCGTTCAACCCCATCTCCCCGACCCAACAAACAAACCTTCAGAAATCAGTGTTACTAAACCCTCAGTACGAACAGTGAAAGCCAGAGAATGATAGAATGCAGCAAACCCGGGAAACAGAACCTAGACTTCTGTACTCAGCCCACTATTACTGTAAGGAGAGGACAAAAGACATTTTCGGATGTACCAGATCTTAAGTCCTTACCTCCACTTACCTTCTCAGGAACCTCTGAAAAACGCATTTCTACAAAACGAGATCTCTAGTGAGGAAAGGGCGGGATCCAGAAAATAGGGAAGAAGGCCAAGGACTCCCTGGTTTAACATCCGTGCGGTGGTCGTGCGGTGGTCGGAAAAAGAAACCTGCTGGGCTGGAATAACTCCCAGAGCAACGCCTTCCCGCAAACAGGAGGGAAAACCCCACAACCCATTGTGCCGTTCAATGGCCTGATGGTCTGCCGTGCGGGAGCGTTCACACTGCTGCTGGGACACTCAAGGGCGTGTAACCCTGCTAGAGCTAAGTATGGAGCGAATACGGCTTCTACCACGCTGTGACAAAAGCCCGCAGGGACAAAGAGTAGGAGAACCAACGTCCCTCTGCCAGAGAGGCGGTTACAGATAGAGACTACGGCTGACAGATCGAGAGAGCAGTCTACTCAGATGACAGAGACAGAAGGAAAACCTTGGAGTCCAGTAGGAGCACCTTCTAGTACAGACTCAAGGGGAGAAGAGGACAGACGCAGTGACGGCTCCCACGTGCACCCCAGGCCCTCACAGGTCTCAGGAGCGGCAGCTGTCTGGTGGGGCAGGAGGAGGGAAGCAAGCACTCTCATCCCGCACCACAAAGGTTTCTGCTCGTTCCATCAGGTAACTGTTTTGCAGCCATGAAATAAACATGCAAACTTCCTTCAATGCAAGCTAATTCCAAAACCATTTTCTTTTTTTTGTTTGTTTGTTTTTTGAGGCAGGGTCTCACTACGTAGTTGAGACTGACCTGGAACTCACTATGTAGCCCAGGCTGGTCTTGAACTCACAGCGATCCTCCTGCCTCAGCCTCCCAAGTGCTGGGATTACTGGTGTGCGCCACCACGCCTGGCTCCAAAACCATTTTCTATGCTTTAAATTCATATAATAGTTCCATTTATGAAACTGCGTTTCCAATTTTTCCGCATGGTTCTATAACTACCTCACGTGTTACTGAAAACAAGCAGCCTACTGCGCATCATTTCACACCTGAACTTAGCCCAAAGGCAGGAAGCAACTGTGTATCGTTTTAAACACCTTAGGTATGGAATGAAACTTTGCCTACAACCTAAATTGGAATGAATTTTTAAAAACTGACTAAAACATCACTACACAGTTTATCTCAAGAAGCAAACAAAAAACTCACAAGATCTCATCACGACTGACTTTAAAAAGCACCCAATGCAATGCCCTGCTTACCTGCTCAAACTGCTTCATTGCAAACATGACTTCAGAAAAACCAAAGATTAAACGCCTTTCCAATCTGCTCTCAAACACCTGTGGACCACAGGTAGAAATGGATTAATGGAAGCCTGTAGCATTTTTTAACTCGTTGCCCCAGAACAGCAGCCACAGCAAGGTTCACCACCACAGGGTCTCGGAGGCAGAGCCCCACACAGGCGGCGTCAGCACTGCACAGGCCCGGCGGAGCTGCGGAGAACCACAGGGCGCACGCGAACGGCCGCCACCCTCCCGGGGGTCTGGCTGAGCTTGGTCAAGCCAGGAAGCACCCTCCGGATTTCCCACTTCCCACCCCGCATCTCCCAAACTCGCTACCAAAAAGCCTCATCAAATCCCGTCTGTGCTTAGCGTCCTCCGGGCCTCCACCACCTGCGGGATAAACCCGCTCTGGCGCTGCCAGGCCGCAGTGACAGCTGCTGCCCATCAGAGACCGCACACGTCTTCCTAGGAGATGGCTACGGAACCTTCGAGGGCTCTCCCAGACCCGAGCCTGTTCCTCACCCCCGGCAGAAGTAAGACTCAGCACATGTGGCTAGGGGCTCTCCTCCTAGACTGTCAGGAGTCGCTCCGAGGCCCCGTCCCCGACAACCCAAACCTACACCCAGAGCGCCCCAAGCTGTCACACCACTCGATGCTGACTGCGTACACTCAGGGCTCCCCACTCGGCTCATTTCTGTTATGACACGCCACGCTCGAGGCCCTAACCAGGCGACAACACCCGAGGGCAGGGCGTCTGCCCCACTACACACGTGACCCCAGCAGGCAAACTCGGCGCTAAACACGCTACCAGCGACCCAGTGTGGGGTGAAGCGAATTACTTTTTCTATGGTTTCTCTGATGAGGGTGTCCGGCAAGGAAACATTTCCACCCAGGAGCAAAGCAGAAATTACATCCAAGAGGGTCTTCCGGCAAGACACAGAGAGACTCGCTATGTGCATGGTTTCAGACAACACCTGCAAAGATAAAACAGAGAGCAGTGCCCGGTTAGTGACCCGCTTGTAACAAAGGGCGGTAAGCACAGGAGGTGGGAACTCACCTTACAAACCCCAGCAGCGTTGCTTATCTTGGATCCACTTCTGTGTTTCACGAGTATCAGGTACGTTTCCAACAACCTTGTCATCTGCTCAGAACTTTCGCAAGAGTTCTTTTTCGTTACTTTGTTGTGGAGATCCAGGAGTGACTCCTGCAAACAAAGAATTTAACAGAGAAAATAAAACCTCAAATGCATCTGTTCATCCAGTGGTGGAGATACTGAGGCTGCGGTCCAGCCCTCACACTCCTGCTCTGGGAGAAAAAGATGCGTTTTCCAGAGGCCACTGCCGACAATGACAGCCAGCATTCCCTGGGTGCTCCGACCCCGGGGCCCTGCAAAACGTCCTCTCCATCCTCACAGCGACCTGGGGGTGGGGACGACAGCACCTCCTTCACCAGAGGCTCTGCCCCGTTTAACGAGCGCCCAACGCCGGGCTCAGGACAGGAGCACACCAGGAGAGCGTCGGGCACAGGGAAGGGCGCCTTCCCACGCGGGTGGGAGGGCAAGGGGAATGGGCGCAGAGCACAACCTCCCAGGGCAGTAAGACTTCGTACTACACACCCATGTGACTTGATTTGAAAGGCCAGAACTCACTTGCAAACAGTCCAAAAAGGTACCAAAATGTTCCCTGTGGACATAGAGAACAGTGGATTTGGCCATGTTTTTTAGAGTTTCTCCCACGGAGCTCCATGGTAGTTGAGTTTCTGTTTCAGTAACTGGTCCGAGCTTCTGCAAAATTAGCTTCACCGCCTATGGGAAGCAAGAACAAACACCAGAACATACGAACCCTTACTCGAAAGTCAGCACACTGATGAGACCAGTGTGGTCTGGGACCACAGAGGCTATGGCAGCTCTCAGTTACCTACGAGTCCCAGAAGGGATTTCCAAAGTAGGATGGGGATTTCAGCCCACAATGGCTGCTCCCACCCTGTGCTCAGCCTTCAGCTGATCTATGTTCTGACCTCAGCATCCAGGATAAGGAAGAACACAGTGACTTCGTATGTAAAAGTATACAAGGAAACACTGTACTGGTCCCCTGATCTGCCCGGCTACAGCTTTTCTACGTGTCCTAGCTGCCCCTGCCCCTGCACCGCTTGCCAAATTCTCATTTTCTGTCCAACCCTTCCACAGACTCCAAGCTCTCCTCTGCATTGCTTACCTGGCCCGCACAGGAATGAAACATGTTTCTGACTCCTCTGCACATTTCAAAGAGTAATTGTCCAACTCCTTCTACCTTTTCTGGATGTTCATTAAGATCAAGAAACATTACATTGAAAAGGGCACTTTTATCAGAAACCTAAAAGGCAAAATGGAAATGGAAGATTATGACCTAAATATACCCACATGAGAAATGTCACTTCCTATCTTACACGCTCAAATATAAACACTCAAGGAAAAAAGTTCTCAAAGGAACAGACACGTGCAATACATCAAACTACCAGAACCGAGCACTGGTATCAATTTATTGGTAGGACGAGAAGTACCAAGGCAATATTCTGTCTTTCAAAGGAAACTACTTTTTATTACTTCTATTTGTGAGCAAAAAAGAAATTCAGTATCATTTTTTTGAATTACAAAAACCCTGGATTTACTAGGGAAATTTTAGGTAAACACAAACAATACCCGACTTCCAGTCCTTTCCAGGAAAGTGTTACAAAACTTCCAACCATCTCCGACGACACCTCGCCAGCAGTCGGAGGGGTTGTGTCACCCTCATCACATTATCAAGTGGGGACTGAACTTTGTAACGGGACACACAAAGAATAGCAACCAGATTTTAAAAAATTACCCCATAATTATCACACTGAAAAATGTCAGCGCGACCCATCTGATCCTTGACATCACACTGAAAAATGTCAGCGCGACCCATCTGATCCTTGACAATCTACTAGCAATAAACATAGAAAACACCGAACTAACCTTTCTCATCAAAAAAGTGAAGCTTTCAGCAGCAAAGTTTCTTATATGCAGTTTTCTGTGAGCCAAGAGTGTACTGTACATGCTGCCAAGGAGAAAGATGAGAGTCTAGTGACGTGATGTCAGTGAGGACGACACACCCAACACTGCCGGGGTGGCGGGGACGCCAGGGTGAGCTCAGCGTCTCTCTCCTCCTGGACACCTACTGTGGGGCAGACGCCGCACTAGGAGTGGTGCGGGGTGCGCAGGGTGGAGCCCGCGGGAGCTGAGACCCAGAGGGCCTCTGAAGGACAGAGCTGAGGCAGGCGCTGGGATGCACAGTGTTAGGATAAAGACAAGAGCAAAGCGGGTGGGTGGAGATCAGTCAAGAAATTACAAGAAGACAGGTCCGTGTCGGGGAAGGAGGTCTGTGCAGCGTAGGGGCAGCCAAGGCAGAAGGCGCCTTGGAGCAGAGCGAGTGGGGCAGGACGCTTCTCCGCGACAGGCCAGGCGCTATCACTAACCGCCCTACAGTGGCGCAGCTCTAGCCGACCGCGCCCGCAGTCACACTGCTAAGTCAGTTTTCTCAGTGAGGGAAGAGCACGGAACTCGGCCCTCCTCCCACCGCCACAGCCCCCGTCCCTATCAGCTCCTCACTCATCTCCGAAAAGCTCTGGCTGCAGGACATTTTCAGGAAGAGGCGTCTTGCAGCCATACAGAGAAGAGGCGGGAGGCAGAGGGACCCGGAGAAGGATGCCGCAGCCGGTCTGGAGGTCCCTGCCGTGCGGCCCAAGGCATCACCACAGCTCCTCCGCGTCTGACCGCTCCCTGAAGGCGCCAGCTCGGTGCCCGGGACGCTTCTCCTCCACAAAAACAGCATCTCCGTGAGAAGAGATTTTCTGTTTTACTTATGACGGGTCTCGAGTGTTCTACACGCAGACAGCACTCAGCAAACACTGCGAGCGTGCAGGTGAACGATGGGAGCCAGAGGACCTGCGTCCTGGAGACCCGGGGTTGAAGATGTCTCTAAGGAGCTCAGACAGGAAGAACGCTGGTGTGGGGGACAGAATGGGAACCAGGGCTGGGGATCTGGCTCAGTGGTGCCGCCCGCCTGGCAAGTGCAAGGTCCCGAGTTCGATCCCCGGTACCAGAAGAAAAAGGGGCACCAACAGGGCTGGACAGATGGGCCCTTGGAGAACACGGATGTGCAGAAAGTTACGAAGAGTTGGTCTGAACACAAATGTGTTAAGCTGGGTTTCAGCAATACTGGAAAATATCCAGGCCACTGAAAATGTCATAGGTACGTTTATCAGTGAGGAAAGTGACTTGGGAGACATTAAAGGGACAGCTTTTATGACACCTGACGTCATAAAACCAAATAAAGGGAAAAGAAAAAAATGTGAGATAATGAAAAGATGGAAATAAAGCGTTTGTAGATGGGGAGGGGAGGAGGGGGTGAAGGGAGGGCAGGGGTAAGGGGAAAAATGAGAACCAAGACCTGTCATGTAGAGGTACAAGATCTCAATAATGAATGTAACTGTACTGTTTTCCTAAAATGTACCAACAAACTCAAAGCTAAAAACAAAAACAAACAAACAAAAAAACAAATAAATTACATTTCCCAAGGACCTTGTGGTTCACTGAAGTAACCTTGATTTCTAATACCAAGAGCTTCCCAGAGAGTAAAGGCTGGAAAAATACTTCTTTCCCATTTTTTGTATAACGTTCCTAAAAGAGAAGAGTGGGCACAAAAACAAAATCGTTGTCCTATCCTCTACCACACCTCTATGGGTCTGGCGTGTAAAGAACTGGTTGCTCATCCTGGAAAATTCCATCCAATCTCAGATTTTAAAAGATAACATCTTTTCTTTAAATAAAAAGCTACTTTAGCCGGGTGTGAAGGCACACGCCTATAGTCCCAGCACTGGGGAGGCTGAGGCAAGTTCGAGACCAGCCTGGGCTACATAGAGTTCCAGGTCAGTCTCAGCTACATAGTGAGACCCTGTCTCAAAAAACAAACAAACAAACAACAAAAAAAAACCCCAACAAGAACAACAAAAAACAAAAAGCTACTTTGAGACAGGGAGATAGCAATTTCAAGCACAGCCTGGACAACTCAGAGAGACCCTGTCTCAAAATAAAAATCGGGCTGGGGATGTAGCTCAGCAGTGCCACCACTTGCTTCACAAGCGCAAGGTCCCAAGTTCGATCCCTGGTACCAAAAATAAAGAAATATAAATTTAAAAAAGGGCTCACTCAGGAGGTGGGCCAGTGAGAAGGCCCTATGTTCAATCTCCAGTACTGAGGAATTCTTTGTCCTCTGTGTCCACACATACTCAAAAATATCAGGGCTATCTGGCTTAGCAGCAGAGGTAACATGGCGTGCGAGACCCTAGGGTCTTGTAAAGAGCCCACAGGTTTGTGGAGGGCAGCGTCACATCACACACAAACAGTCACAATGAAAGTTTCGTGGTACGAGTGACAGAAATGCCGAAGAGGTGTGGGGTATACGGTGTTCCCTTCTGGCCTAGCAGCCCAGGAGTAGCTGCAGAGGTTATGCAACCCCAGTCAGGCTTTGAAGGAGGCATCATGCAAAGGCCTGATGAGAGGAGGTCAGGTCCACAGACACGAGGCACGCCCAAGGGACAGCGGACTGGACTGGGGAGCCTGCGGCCAGCGAGCAGGCTCTGAACAGGGGAATGGTGAAGTGGCTGAGGGTCGGCAGGGGAGGGGTAACAGGAGAGGCAGATTCACCTGTAAATGCTGGCCATGTCTTTCACCATCAGCCTCCACAGGTACTTGTACAGGTAGGACAGCGCGGTGAAAGCCCACTCCAGCAGCTCCGTGTCCTGCGTCTCCAGGAGGGAGGTGATGGCCAGGAAGAAGTCGGGGAAGTGTGGGTAGAAATCTGTTTGCAGGTCACGTGCCAACTGAACCACCAGACTGGGTTGAGAGAGAAGGGACTGACTACAGAGCTTTCCAAAAGGTTGTAGGGCCGGGGGTTTGGCTCAGTGGTGCCACCACCTGCTTTGCAAGCACAAGGGCCTGAGTTCACTCCCCAGTACCAAAAAAAAGAAATTTAAAAAAAGGTTGTAACGATCATTGGAGTCACTAAAATTAAACCAAAGTACCTCTCAATCAAGTCTTAAGTGAAATCCCTCAAGGCCGGGGATTTGGCTCAATGGTTTTGCTGCCTGCTTCACAAGCACAAGGGCCTGAGTTCACTCCCCAGTACCAAAAAAAAAAAAAAAAGTAATCCTTCAAAGAAAGCAGGGCAGGGCAGATGATCCATTCCTTCAAAGGCTGTAGTTACTGCTCCTACAGCATCAACAAAGGGGCTTCTTTGAGGAGTAAATAACAAATGCTTCATTGTATTCTTAGGACCCTACTTCTTCAAGTCCTAACAGAAAAGGTGAATTTGTCTCTGAACTACAAACACCAGATCTAAGGCACATGCAGCTATGAAACACAATTTTTCTTAAAAACTCAGATAAATGCCATTGAGCTTTTTCTCAAAACACTACTTACTCCAAAAGGGGTTGGTAGGCAAAACTGTTCCTAACTTGCAGGTGAGTCTTCAAACTCTGAACAATCTCATTTTGATGATAGACCAACTGATTAAATGACTGGCATTTGTCAACAACTTCTTTATAAAATTTTCCTGGGTGAAAAAACAATAACAGCAACAAAGGAATACATTTGGCTTTTCTATCACATCATTGCTTATTTGAATATGTAAAGTGAAAACTGTGAGAATACAACACAAACAAAAGGTACCGAAGTGCTCCGTCAGGTTCAGTTCTCTCCATTTCAGCAGAGCCTCAAGGAAGTAAGTTTCCACTTCCTGCCAAGATTAAAGCACTCTGTTATCAGGGGACACCTGGAAAACTATGATCGAGATAGGAAGAATAATAACATGTCTACATCTTAAGGCTCCTCTTAGGGTTCTTAAAGAGGGATATTAACTAGCATACTTTAAAAAGCAATAGGAAGATAGGCTCAACAGATTTTTACAACAATACTGTTGGTTGATTTGGCCATAGCAAATATCTTTCTAAAGGCCCTATAGTAATCATACTATGGAAAACCTTTTTTTCTGTTTTTGCAAGGTTAGGCACAGAAAAATATGCTCTTTTTTTTTTTTCTAGTTTTTTCATTCTGCTTTAGGAAATATGAATTGCTGAAGCCTATGGCAAAGTAATCTGGCATTTCTATTAAAATTAAAATAGGTTTGCCCTTTACGCAGAAACTCCACTTTTATGATCTTTTTCTTATGAAATGTATAAATATACAAGTATAAGACGTTTACTCATCTTACCATATGACGGGAAAGCATAAAAAAGCCTAAAATCCAATGACAGCAAAATATTTAGGGTAACTTATGGTCTATACTTACTGAAGTGTATTATGTGGCTATTTACAAGAATCATACTGGGGTGGGGGTAGCTTGGCGGTAAAGCACAGGCTTAGCATGCACCAGGCCCAATATCCAGCACAGAAAGGAAGAAAAGAAATAAATTCTATGTGTTGCACCAGAAGGATGCTGACCACATGCCCCAGGGTGCTCACAGCAAGTTCCACAGTGACGTCTGCTGGGACCTAATTTTACGTTAATAACGCCGAACACCTCCATAAATGTTTGCACACTGCTGTAGCGTGAGCACGAGAGGAGGATGGAGGAACGTGCAAACACTCAACTGTCCATCCTGGCTTCACGGCCACGAGCAGTGAGAGGAAGGGAACAGCCCTTTTCTAGCGATAGCGCTGTGTGAAATGGAAAGCCCATAAATTCTTACTGTGTGTGTGTGTGTGTGTGTGTGTGTGTGTGTGTGCGTGCGCGTTTGCGTGTGCAAGTGCAGAGCCTGGAAAAGAGACAGCGCACACATTCCCAAACAGCCGCAAAAATCTCCTGCTATCTCAAACACAAACAAGAAAGAAAAGAAACCCTTAAACTGTGCTTTGGAAATCTTTAAACAGGCAGGGAGAAGAGGAAGAAAGCAAATCCCATTAAATCTTGTCTCCTAGGCAGGAGAGAAAGGCAGAAGGGCAAGGCTTTCCTGGCCTAGCAGGTGACTGGCACAGGACACCCTTCCCAGGAAAGGGAACCACCTCTCACCCGGGAACCAGGCCCAGCCTGGTGACTTGCTCTGGCCACTAATGTCCTACGGGAACCACCCTGTGATGCCCAAAGTAAGGCTTGCTGAGATCCCGCAGCTCCCACTCTCACTGTCCCGAGGTTCTTCCATCCCGAGAAGGCTCACGCAGCACACTGGACTGGAGAGGATGAGGACCATCAGGACCAATGCGGGTCCTGGCCCAGGCTCTCCTCTCTCCCGAAGCCCTTGATACTCTCAACCTCTCCCAAACTATGACCCATCCGCTGAAAGCCAGACCCACCACTGACCCCTGAAGTCCCTACTCCCTGTTCCCACACATCCACGTCTCTTGGACACCATGAGTCACACAGCCACAGGCATACTAAGTGCAACACTCTCAAGACAGCCACTGCATTACCCTCATCTCCATGAATGACATCCTCAGCTCCTCAGCTATGGAACCAGTACTCTTTCTCCCCAAGTACCCAGTGGGTTCCAAGTACTATCCACTCTTTAATATCTCTGGAATCCTTTCCTCTCTACCTGACTGTCGGGATCATTTCTAACTTATACAGCAATCTATAACTGGCTATCTTGACTCCAGTCTCGCTCTCTCCTCCATACTGAAACCAGACAGAGAAAATTTAAACCTGATCACGTCACAAAATTTAAACCTACTCCCTTGCTTACAACCCCAGAATGAAACACCCTAACTTTGGGATAAAATCCAGACTTAGCTTGGCATACAGACCCCTTATAATCCGTGCCTGTGTAGCCAGCTATCCCTCCTCCTGCCCTTGTAACCATAAACACACACACACACTAAACACATCCCTAAACACACCGCACTGCTTTGCAACGTCTTGAATGTAACACACATTCCCTAGCCTCTGTCCCTTACATACGTTTCTTCCTCAGCCTGAAACAGTTTTTCCTGTCCTCTGTGCCAGGCTAAAACCTATACAAACAACAAAACTCAAATCAGGGTTCATCTTGTCTACACCACCTTTTTTTTGAGACAGGGTCTCACTATGTAGTTGAAACTAACCTGGAACTCACTATGTAGCCCAGGCTGGTCTTGAACTCACAGGGATCCTCCTGCCTCAGCCTTCAGAGTTGTACGCCACCAAACCCGGCTACCCCACCTTTTTTTGACACCCCACCCTATATATCCCCAAAGCATTTAGCTTAGGCTCCCTTCACTGAATTCCCAAAGCATTATATGTTTACCTAAAGAACATTTCACACATTGAAGTTGTATGATAGAGGCAATGCATTCAAAGAAACAGAATTTGAAAAATAGTAAGGGGTCAGGGATGTAGCTCAGTGATGCCATGTTTGCTTGGCAAGCACAGGTCCTGAGATGGATTCCGAGTATAAAACAAAACAAAACAAAACAAAAAAACCCAGTAAGAACTGAGGTTGAATGGCATATTATACAAGATCTTGCAAGGCTAGCAGGGGAATAATGACTTGATGCCCCAAAAAAAAAAAAAAAAAAAAAAAAAAAAACATAGAGGGATGACAGTTTTGGTGTTAGAGCTGGAAAACCATGTAGTCTATCCCATGACCAGCTCTTTCACCAAGAGGGACCATATCCTTACTGCTGGATTTTTAGGCTGCTCTGCTCCTTATCAAAAAGCTGAATGGACATCTTTACATTTGCATGTCTAACCTCCAGAAAGAAACCAAGCCCCAGGAAAGTGGCTTGCTCAAAATCACTTTAAAATCATTGCTGCAGGACTATGGCTACAGCAGTGCCCGCAATGCGCCTTGGGAAGGAGAAGGATCAAATCATAAAAGTTAGTGGGGTATCACGTCAAGTTTGCTGTCTAAACAGCCTCATCCAGCAGACCTTTCTGCGTTCGCACTCGTCCAACTACGGGAGCAACTAGCCACACATAAGGTTAACAGCAGCACTTTAAATTGAAGGCAAATCAAACTTTCATTTGCCAGGTGTGCCTTCTGTATTGGGCCACATCTCATGCATCTCATATTCATAAAAGAAATGGCTTAAAAACAACTCACTTCTACTAAGAGTCTATGAACACTTAAAGATTAGCTAACATCACATTCTCTTACCTCATCATAGCTTGCAGTTCTATCGATACGATGAATAATATCAATATTCACATTCCCCAGCCGTTCGGCGAATGTAAGAAACTGGGAGGAAAAACATTTGACATTCGTCATCATTCACAACTCACTGCATCTTCAGTGCCATGGAACGATCACATGTGGGCAGCTGACTTGTTAAAGTAGGAAGCGTAAAGCTTCATTCATTTACTAAGCCTCCCCATGTCCTATCATTGCAGGTAACTCTATGCTATGCTCACTTCAGACCTGGGGTCTATCAATAATCAAATGTGTAGTTGTTAAACTACAAGCACACATCACTGATGAATCACAAAATATAAGGTTAAAAACAAACCGAAAGTCATGGGGCCTTACAGGCACTGCGCTATTTGAAGATAATGAATACCACGTTTGCCTAAGTTCTTTCAGCTACTCCATGCTAGCTAGACTGAACTTGGCCACAAGCACAGAAATCTAGAGAAGTCGTTGCAACAGTGCTTTGAAATGTATACAGACCAACACTGCAAGGAAGACCTAGAAAGAAATTTATTAATGAGCGAGGTGCCACCGTGGCCATTAGCTGAAGTCCCTACTTTCCCGCTGGCCTGCTTCCCCAACTCTGTTGGTAAACATGAACGAGCAGGGGAATTTCGGTCCTAAACAATTTCCTGGGACAACGAAAGTCACTCTAGACTGAAGGGGGTTCCCCAAGTCGGATCCGAACTCCCAAACCTAGGGCGAAATCTAACTTCATCACTTTCCTGCTCCATGAGCACTATACACTCGAATACCACTTTCGTCAGAGCCGCAGCAGATGACTGCCGCCCGGCCCAGCCTCTGCAGCCGCGGGAGCCAGTCTGCGGTCCCAGGCTGGGGCAGCAGGACCCGCGGCGCCCGGCCCAGGATCCCGTGCTCACCCGGTAGGTGTTCTCCGTCTTATGGGAAACGGGCTTTATCTTCATGGCTGCGGGCGGGAAAGGCTCGCAGGAGCCTCCGGAAGAGTCAGAAGGATGAAGTCGATTCCGGGGAGCAGAACGGGACTCACACGCGGTGCTTTCCGATTGCCAGCGGCCTGGTCTTTCTCACG